CTACTACTACTGCTACTGCTACTGCTACTGCTACTGCTACTGCTACTACTACTACTACTATTCTTATTATAGTTTACCACTGCTACTACTGCTGCTACTACTAGTACTACTACTCGATAACATGATGGAAGTCAGAATGGCAAATGCAAAAGCATAGATGTATTGATATAGTAACGTGAAGCATGCTTAACAATTTGACTTGCTAAAGCCACCAAGTGCTCCCAACCTCGCTCTCGACCTCAGCCAGGAAGGATGCAAAGAGCTCGTCGTCCATGAAGCGCCCATGAGCACAACTCCGCGCGCTCCCTTCAGGTCTTGTTAAAACCAGTCGCATCATGAGTTATATACATCTAGTTGCCACGTCTGGTTACCTGTTACTCCATAGTACCTACCTAGTCGTGTTTTGGGGGAACGGGCAATGGGCTTGTGGAGACTGTTCACCCTGATACTTCGGGACACTGAAGGTTGAGACCAAACTTGCTAGCATCTCGAAGAAAAGAGGACCCGAAAAATGCCGTCCAACTTTAGAATGCCATCTCTCAAAGACTCGCTACAATGCTGTCTTTGAGCCATGTGCTTCTCGCTAGATGGCCGCCAGGTAAGGACTTGCAATCTTTTTGGTCACTCCCAACCATCTCTGAGTTCTCCCGGCTTTGCAATCACGATGATTTGGCCACACAGAGACCTGCACCAACTGATCAGTTACACTTTGTTGAATTAAACCATGCCCTGACAGACTCGTGCTTGCGAGAATTCCAAGATAAACCGAACAAATCTCAGGATTCATGCGTTGATAACCATCCTGCTCTGATCTTCGAAATCCAGCACCTAAGCACTCCTTTACTCCCTGGATGCCTTAGCTTGGGGAGGAGTGCTCTTCAATTGTTGAACCTTCACCAGCGCTGCACCTTGGCTACCAGGATTCACAAACGCGTGGAGTGGCACTAGCACAGATGTTTTTCCACACTGCTCTTGGTGCCCGTCGCTGTAAAGTAGGGTCGTACATGTTCCTGGTCACTCCCGCAAAATGATCATGCTGAGCTGATGCGGTTGAAGTTGGCGTTGGCTCTTGGCTATTCTCTTCACTGCTTTCTTGATGCTTTGAGGCTTTTCGGTGCTTTTGTGCCAAGCGTCGTCTGGGAAGCGGGGCCAGCCTATCAATCACTTAGCTTCTCACACAGGTTTGGTGAGAGAAAGACTCAGGCGACAAATAAATTGCAAGCACAAGGAGGCATGAAGCCGGCCTGGAAGACATTCGAAGTCATGTAGACCTGGATTTGCTGGACATGGCAAAAGGCACTTGAGGATCAACAAACATAGAGCGAGTCCCGGCCTGCTTTCTCTGTCGTGCATTGATGGCCTCTGGGGAGGCCTGCCCATCTGGTGTTCAGCTTCTAGGAGCATAAAGGACAGTGCAATCCAGCAAAAAGTCCAAACCAGCATGTTACATATGTGTGAAAAACTTGCACAATGGAAACTCACCAAGAGGAAAATTGATATACAATCTCCGGCCACTTCTCAAGCTTGTTCCAAACTGGAGAGACTACTCAAGGAGCCTGCACCACCGGTGGCGGCGAAACCGGCCGAAAGATCAACGCCATGGCACAAAGCCTTTCGAAAGGGGTCAAATAGCTTCTCAAGCAGCTGGTCAAGAAAAACTACATAAAATGCCGATTTGCTCAAATAATCAAACATTGCCACCTTGTGGTCGGGGTTTGGAGCTAGGAATGCCTTGCCAAACTTCACTGCTATGCAACAATAGTAGGCAACGAGCTTCGCCGCAAAAAAGTATGGTGAAATCCCTGTGACCCGATTTTGGCTCCTGACCTTCCTCTTTAGATTTTCCGACAGAAAAGTGTCAAATGCACTTTCCGTGTTGCATGCTGCACGAACTGTGCTCTTCATGTCTTCATGTGCTCTTTTTGCAGAGAGTCTAGGCACTCTGAAAGAAACGCCACGCAGCTGTTGGTCAGCTGTTCTGTTTGGCATCCACCCGCATGTATGAACATAGCAGCACTTCGCTCGTGAAGAATATTCCCAGAGCCACTCAGACCGAGTGTGTCTGTCAACGCAAAGCCCGTCACACCAACTCAGCTTCATTGAGGTAAATGGTAAAGCCCGGCAAGACTGTCAATGAAACCCCTCCACAAGGACAGCGGCATCGGGCCATCGCCTTGCCGTGAGAAATCAGACTATGCGTGTCTTAAGAACGGAGCCATCTGAAGCCATTTGGTTGACTGTCCCTCTCAGAGAGAGGCCCATGAATGTTTTGTGCTGGGTCTTGTTTCAGCGAAGCAATCAAGTCACTCAAAATCATGTCTATCAACATGTTAAAGCCATCTTCATTGAATCACTGGAATCCTTGCTCTTACTCTTTGTCCGACAACTAGCACCCCCGAGTCTGAATAGCTTGACAGGCAACGTATGTAGCGTTGCCACAAAGGCATCACCCTCTGAGCCCCCCAGAAGCTAAGGCAGGGTCCTTGTTGCAAGATGCCTTCAATAGTTCCTTCACACCCTCTCATTCAAGTATATAATTTCAAGTGAAGCAATAGCTGAAATTCAGATCAAGAGTCGATGTCGCTAAGCTCCACCCGCACGGACTTCAAGGTTGGCCCTGGAGGATCCTCTCGCACGTCACAGACTCAAGACGTATTCGTGGAGAGCAAGCGTGTTCAGTAAAAGAACGACAATAACAATCAAGCGATCGGACTGAACCTTCTGCTCACTCACCCGGCCAAAGAGACTTAGTGACTTAAGCCCTTGAACAGAGATCTCACTACAACTAGCTTGAGCGTCATAGTATCCTAAAGCAAGTCTTTGACACCTATGATTCAGGCAGCGGCTTTGCAGTCTTGGGACTCCTGCCCATCGTATAGGAAGAGCTGAATCTTTCCAGACTTTGTGTCAGCAGCAGCCACATTGAACTGCTTACCTTGGACATTGGATCGCATTTAAAGTCTAAAGGCATTGCTTTTCAGGACCAGCAGGGGGGGACTGCACAACTGCTTCCAAAAAGGACAATGTGCGTGTGTTCAAACAAGATGCCAACCCACAGTCGGAAGTCTTCCCACCTTATTCACAGAAGTAACAAATCTCAAAATGGAAGCTGCAAAGCAAATGATATTGAAGCGAAAATTCTGCCTCTCAGTACTCGCAAAAACGTTGCATGACAGCTGGGCCCTGAACAGGATCACATCCTCCCGTACAATATCTTGTTGCGCCTCTTGCAGCTTCTTGCCGTCAATGCCCACAGCCCCAAGCATCTTACCTCCGGATATTCAGGCTCGTGTGTCAATATCAAAACGTCATTGCAAAACATCTTTCGAATGTCATTGTGTGATACAAAAGCCAATTCCGCTAAGTGGCTCAGGTTTGCGGACATTGCAAGGCCGCCCTCGTCGATCGAATTCTCAACAAAAACCTTTTTGACTTGTTGATCCAACTTGGCCTGGCAAAAGGGACTGACCCATCACCACAATTTTGTGCACAACACCGTGACAAGAAGAATACCGCCTCCTCACTCAACTGAGAGTCGGCCCTCTGGGTGGAGAATATCATGGTGTAGTGAGTGGGAGAAGCCAGCACCCAAATCGGGAAATCTGGATTCTTGTAAAGCCTTGCTTGGAAATGCTGTCTCCGAAATGCATGTTCAAACAGACAAAGCTGAGCTCTGATGTGTTCACGAGGTGACACTTCTTGTACCCGTGCCGAGCATCATCCCAACTGAAAGATATCTGTAGGTCTCCAATTCGCTCAGGAGGCCAACTTGTGGCACACCGACGCGTTCGCTGTCGACGCCCCTGGCGCACAGTTGAGAGCGATGATGCAGAGCTAGGATGATGCAAGGCCTCACGCGGAAACCACTAGAAGGGTCGTCGCCCAGCCAGCGAGTCCCATCAAAGACATTCCTCAAAAAGCACGAAAGGATGAAGCTGAAGTAAAGTCAATCAAGCTAATCGGATCATGATTTCAAGGTGTTCAAGGAGGTTTCAAGAAGAGTTTCCTCTTTCGGCTCATGGTTCTTTCAAAAGTGTACAATACTTCAGCAGGACAACTGAGCCGAGTTTCGATGTGGCTTCACCAATGAGCATGAGATTTACCAGCTCCTGAGAAGCACAGTGCATGAACTACTGAAACCAAGAAGTGGCATGAAAATATGTGAAGCGGCTTCCGAAGCGGCCTGGCTGCAATGGCCAAATCGTCCAATCAACGGAGTGGTGGAATCATCCATATCCTTGGTCTCGCAGAGTCACACGCATAGACTCTCGTTCTCTACTAGTAACGAAGGGCATCGCTACTAGGAACAAGGATGCTACTATATAGTAGCTTACAATTCACTCTGCTTTTCCAATCTGACTGGTTCTCTGCCCCGGTTGTGCTAGCACAAGGTTGCAGCCAAGGTGCTTCTCTAACAGCTGAGACTGTTCGGCTACTGAGCACAGAGAAAAGGAAGCTTAGAACTCCCAAAGGTCCAGCAAGCCAGCTGTCCGCACCTCACTGCTCTTCTCAGACGTGCAACATACGGATCAACAGATCAACAAATATATAATCGGACAAGTAGAGATTGACCATGAGATGCGATAGCTGCCTTCTTCAAGCACTTGTCGTGCCTGCTCAAGTGTGTGTGTGTGTGTGTGTGTGTGAGCGTGTAACACATCTTTTCAAACACACAGAGCGGGTTCAAAAAGCAACTGGAAAAGCTTCTGAAAACAGCCGTAAAGACATGGTGTCAGCCTCCGCAATCCGCGTGAGGTGCCGAGCAGAAACAGCCAAAACGCTGGAGCCCTCACCTGTCCATGAACTCCACGGTCAAGACATGGTGTACAGTACATTGTATATAGTCGGTTCAAAGCCCTACCAGAGCCCAGTCCTTTTTGCTCCTCCCTCCCATACTGCCTGCAGCAATGGCAGCAGGCGCTGCCTGCTGCACTGCCTGCGCCTCAGGAGAATCACCCTCAGCAGCATAACGCACCTGTCGACAGCAGGTTCGGTGAAAGCTAAAATGTCTCATGCATGTTACCTATCGTTGTCTGGTGGGTTGCGGGTTTTGTGGGATGCACATTTCGCTCGGCAAAGTCTTGCTTTGGTCTCTGATACAACTGATTTGGAGACAAATTCCTGACACACACTTTGGAGCCTGACAAATAACGTAGGAAGAGCTCGCCGTCGAGTGGAAGAGAATAGACGCCAAGGCGTGAGCAAGAACAGATCCTCGATCATCCTGTTACTGTTGGCTGCACAGAACACCACACGCACGACTTGAAAAGACCTGCCAAAGCGGCTTCCAATGCTGCTTGCCTCGTCATCTGCTCCGGTGCCCAGCGGCTTCTCCTGGCGTTCACCAAAGCGAGACACATCAGAGACACATCACAAGCGTTACTAATTCGTGTTTCTACTAGCTTCTTGTTACTACATGTTACTACTAGTAAGGCACTTGTTACTAGAAGCGATGCGCTTGTTCCTAGTAGCTTCCTTTGTTCACTTGTGTCTCTTGCACAGTTTCTCCTTCCGTCGAGCATCTGGCTCTGGATTCTCTCGGTCACCAGAGCCGAAAAGCAGGAGCTTGACAATGAAGGCCTTCAGGCAAACTATAACCATTCTTGCTCTTTGGATACGAACAAACAAGCAAGCAAGCAAACAAACAAACAAACAAAGCCTGCACTGGTGCATATACACCGCCTCGGCCACTGTGACATCACTTATCACAAAGATTAAACTTCTGATAAATGGATCTGTCAGCTGCCCAATTCCACTGGGCATCAAGCATGGTCCTCCTTGCTTTTGCCAAAGTCCCCATTCAGTACCACTGCGCTGACTCCAAGTAAAT